CTGCGAGGCGTCCCAGAAGGATACCGTGGTCGACGGTATCGAAGGCCGCTGAGAGGTCCAGCAGCACCAACAGGGACACACTCCCCCTGTCGAGCTCCCGGCGCAGATCATCCACTAAGGCGACCAAGGCTGTCTCGGTACCATGTCCCGGCCTAAAGCCAGACTGTGCCGGGTCTAGATAATCCGTATCTACCAAGAATACCTGGAGTTGTGAGGCCACCACACGTTCCAAGACTTTGCCCAAGAAGGGGAGATTGGAAACTGGCCGATAGTTGTCGAATTTAGTGGGGTCCAGTGATGGTTTCTTCAACAGCGGTTTTATTATAGCTTGTTTTAAGCTCGCTGGAATCTTGCCTTCCCGAAGGGAAGCATTAACCACCACCTTAACCCACTCAGCCAATCCCCCTCTGGCCTCCTTTAGAAGCCAGGATGGGCAGGGGTCCAGGATGCATGTGGTTGGCCTCATCCCTCCAAGTATCTTGTCCACATCCTCGGGTTTCACCAATTGAAATGAATCCATCAAAACTGGACAAGCAGGTGCTCGTGTTACATCCTCAGAGACTGCCATTAACATGGTATCCAGACCAGAACGGATCAAAGCGACTTTGTCTGCAAAGAACTGAGCAAAAGCTTCACAGCGAGAAGTCGAATCGTCAGGGTTCCCACCTTGAGTGGTGGGATTTAAAAGGCCTCTGACAATTCGGAACAGCTCAGCCGGACGGTTCTTTGCAGACGCAATAGTGGCCGCAAAGAAAGACTTCTTTGCGGCTTTTATTGCCGCGGCATATGCCCTTAAAAAGGACACAAACCGTGTTCGATTTGGCTCACTCGGATCTGAACGCCACACACTCTCTAGTTCCCTCTTCCTTCGCTTCATCGCTGCCAGCTCCTCGGTGAACCAGGGAGCTGGTTTAGCTCGGCTACTTGAGAGGGGACGTTCTGGAGCGATCGTGTCAATTGCCCTAGTCATCTCCTCATTCCAGAGAGTGACCAGGGCCTCGACAGGATCACCTACCGAGGCGGCGGGAAACTCCCCAAGAGCCATCAGGAATCCATCCGGATCCATAAGCCTCCTGGGGCGGACCAACTTAATGGGTCCTCCACCTCTGCAGAGGTTAGGGGGCGCAGTGAGCCTAAAACTGACCATATTATTATTATGGGTTGTTGTAGTTTTTTTCGGGCTATATGGCCATGTTCTTGAGGCATTTTCTCCTGACGTTTCGCCTGCATCAAAGCATCCTCAGAGATAGTGAGGTCCGTTGGAACTAGGAAAATCTATATATATATAAACGCTCTGTGCATAATGAGTACCTTAAAAACAAAAGAACCAATGAACAAAATCACACCAAATTTGGCAACAAAATATCTCACAACACAAGGAGTGACCATAACTAAAAAAAAAAAATGACGGCTCAATCCATTTCGCAAAGTAATCATTTGCAGTATCGTTATTTTGTCCAGGGGTGCTCTTGAGGCACTCTTGGGGGAAAATAGACCTTGACATATGCAAGTTGTAGTTACTGGCATTTATAGTTCACCTAAAATCAAAGAGCATTCTGAACTCCACCAATGATGGAATTGAACCAAATATGGCACACAGATCTCTCACGACAAACAGAAAATATTTATTTATTTATTTTATTTTAAAGTTTTCTATACCGATCTTCTCACCTCCAAGAGGGACTCAGATCCGGTTCACAACATGTGTTCACATACAAAAATACAAACCACACAATGTATTATCATTACACAATTAAAAACATATTACAATACAACATTGTCATCATCACAATTACAACATTGTCATCACACTGCTCTATATTCCAGTCCAAAGTAGAAAAGGTGGGGGTTGCATTGAGCTGTGTGGAAGATAACATTCAATATCTGCCTTGAACTGAGTTGTGTCCAAACTACTCTATATTCCAGTCCAAAGCAGAAAAGGTGGGATTACATTCAGCTGTGTGGAAGATAATCTTCTATATCTGCTTTGAACTGGGTTATTTGTGTCCACACTGCTCTATATTCCAGTCCAAAGCAGAAAAGGGGGGATTACATTCAGCTATGTGGAAGATAATCTTCTATATCTGCTTTGAACTGAGTTATTTGTGTCCACACTGCTCTATATTCCAGTCCAAAGCAGAAAAGGTGGGATTACTTTCAACTGTGTGGAAGATGTATTGTCAAAGGCTTTCATGGTCGGAATCACTGGGTTGTTGTAGGTTTTTTCGGTCTATATGGCCATGGTCTAGAGGCATTCTCTCCTGACGTTTCACCTGCATCTATGGCAAGCATCCTCAGAGGTAGTGAGGTCTGATGTATCTGATGTATCTACTTTTAAAGTGAATTATTGTTGGGATTCAGCCTGTGATTGATGTACCAGAGCAGGCATGTAGCCGGAGGGGGGCAGTGGAACTCTCTGCCCCGGAGTGTGGTGGAGGCTCCTTCTTTGGAAGCTTTTAAACAGAGGCTGGATGGCCATCTCAGGGGTGATTTGAATGCAACATTCCTGCTTCTTGGTAGGGGGTTGGACTGGATCGCCCATGAGGTCTTTTCCAACTCTTTAATTCATTCTATGAATATCTGCTTTGAACTGAGCTATTTGTGTCCACACTGCTCTATATTCCAGTCCAAAGCAGAAAATGTGCGATTACATTCAACTGTGTGGAAGATAATCTTCAATATCTGGGCACCACAATTCAAGAGAGATATTGACAAGCTGGAATGTGTCCAGAGGAGGGCGACTAAAATGATCAAGGGTCTGGAGAACAAGCCCTATGAGGAGTAGCTTAGGGAGCTGGGCATGTTTAGCCTGAAGAAGAGAAGGCTGAGGAGATATGATAGCTATGTATAAATATGTGAGAGGAAGCCACAGGGAGGAGGGAGCAAGCTTGTTTTCTGCTTCCCTGGAGACTAGGACGCGATACAATGGCTTCAAACTACAAGAAAGGAGATTCTATCTGAACATGGGGAGAACTTACTGACTGTGAGAGCCGTTCAGCAGTGGAACTCTCTGCCCCGGAGTGTGGTGGCTTCTTCTTTGGAAGCTTTTAAACAGAGGCTGGATGGCCACCTGTCAGGGGTGATTTGAATGCAATATTCCTGCTTCTTGGCAGGGGTTGGACTGGATGGCCCACGAGGTCTCTTCCAACTCTATGATTCTCAGATATTTGGGACTTTACTGTAGACTGATGTATCTACTTTTAAAGTGAATTATTGTTGGGACTCAGCCTGTGATTGATGTATCTGAGCCTGTGTTTGAACCTGTGGATGTGTTTCAGTCTCCTGATGTGTCTGATGTAGGTATTGAGGAGGGAAATCAGTCCCCTGTTGATTCCTGGTTCTTGGCCGAATGGGGTTGGACTGGAGGTCTCTTCCAACTCTGATTCTATTCAAATTCTGTGATTCTAGGCTGAAGAGACTCTCCTAGAGCAGTGTTGAGTGCACAACAGCACATGGCTGGCAGAGGCTTCCCAAAAACTCCCTCCAGGCCCTTCCACACAGCCATCCAACCTGGAATATCAAGAGGAGAAAATCCCACAACATGTCCTTTGAACTGAGTTATCTGAATCCACACTGCTCAAATGTGATATTACATTCAACTGTGTAGAAGAAAATCTTCAATATCTGCTTTGAACTGAGTTATTTGTGTCCACACTGCTCTATATTCCAGCCCAAAGCAGAAAAGGTGGGATTACATTCAACTGTGTGGAAGATAATCTTCAATGTGGCTGGCAGAGGCTTCCCAAAAACTCCCTCCAGGCTTTCCACAGAGCCATCTAACCTGGAAGACTTGGAGACTAGGATGCGGAACAATGGCTTCAAACTACAAGAAAGGAGATTCCATCTGAACATGAGGAAGAACTTCCTGACTGTGAGAGCCGTTCAGCAGTGGAACTCTCTGCCCCGGAGTGTGGTGGAGGCTCCTTCTTTGGAAGCTTTTCAACAGAGGCTGGATGGCCATCTGTCAGGGGAGATTTGAATGCAACATTCCTGCTTCTTGGCAGGGGGTTGGACTGGATGGCCCATGAGGGCTCTTCCAACTCTTTAATTCTATGATTCTATGAATATCTGCTTTGAACTGAGCTATTTGTGTCCACACTGCTCTATATTCCAGTCCAAAGCAGAAAATGTGGGATTATATTCAGTTGTGTGGAAGATAATCTTCAATATCTGCTTTGAACTGAGTTATCTGTGTCCACAGTGCTCTATATTCCAGTCCAAAGCAGAAAAGGTGGGATTACTTTCAACTGTGTGGAAGATAACCTTCTATATCTACTTTGTACTGAGTTGTGTTCACACTGCTCTTTATTCCAGTCCAAAGCAGAAAAGGTGGGACTACATTCAGCTGTGGAAGATAAACTTCAATAACTACTTTGAACTGAGCTATTTGTGTCCACACTGCTCTATATTTCAGTCCAAAGCAGAAAATGTGGGGGTTGCATTGAGCTGTGTGGATGACCATCTGTCCGGGGTGATTTGAATGCAATATTCCTGCTTCTTGGCAGGGGTTTGGACTGGATGGCCCAGGAGGTCTCTTCCAACTCTTGGTTCTATGATTCTATGAATATCTGCTTTGAATTGAGTTATTTGTGTCTACATTGCTCTATATTCCAGTCCAAAGCAGAAAAGGTGGGATTACATTCAACTGTGTAGAAGATAATCTTCAATATCTGTTTTGAACTGAGTTATCTGTGTCCACACTGCTCTATAGTCCAATCCAAAGCAGAAAATGTGGGGGTTGCATTGAGCTGTGTGGAAGATAAACTTCAATATCTGCTTTGAACCGAGTTACCTGTGTCCACACTGCTCTATATTCCAGTCCGAAACAGAAAATGTGGAGTTTGCATTGAGCTGTGTGGCAGTGGCCTCTCTTCCCGTCCCCTTTTGGTCAATTCGGTGGTGGTAGCGACGGGGCGGGGCTTGCTCGGGTGACGCGATTCAAACGGCCCAACCAGAGCGAAGCAAGGGTCCGGAGGGGCGGGGCCGAGGGGCGCTGCCTGCCAGGGGCTTTAAAAAGAGCTCCATTTTGTGCCGGCTGTGCCTGGGAGGCGGCGGGAGAGCGAGGCTGCTGCTGCTGAGGAGAAAAAGGAGGAGGAGGAACTTGAGGCTGGGCAGGAGTTGCCGCGCGGCGGCGCTGCAGAGGAGGAGGAAGAGGAGGGGGAGGATGAAGCTGAAGCGAGGAGGAGTCCTGGCTGAGGAGAAGAAGCAGCAGGGAAATGCTGAGGAGGGATGCGGTGCTTTCCCGGCGCCTGAGGCGTCAGCGGCGGAGAAAGTGGTGCACTCGCGCGCGCAGGCCCTGTCTCGCGGCGGCGCGGCCAAAGCCCTGGGCGACGCCTTCAAGCTGCTGGTGCCCAAGTCCACGGAGTTCATGAGCTCGGACGCCGAGCTGTGGAACTTCCTCTGCAGCCTCCGCCACGAGTTCTCGCCGGTCATCCTCCGCAGCAAGGACGTCTACGGCTACGCCTCCTGCCGCGCCGTCGTGCCCGACCCGCCGCCTCACTCCCCTCCTCACGGCGGGAGACCCAGGAGAGCCGCCGCCAGGAGAGGGCGCCAGGGAGCCCGAGGAGCAGCAGGGAGGAGCAGGAGGAGGAGAAGGGGCGTCAAGAGGCCCCGCGAAGAGGAGGAGGAGCCTGAGGCGGCTGAGGAGACTGAGGGCCGCCCCGCAGACGCCTTCTTCCCCGCCCTCAAGGTCCGAGGGAGCATCTGGAACCGACGCAGCTTGGAAGCCGCCCGGAGGAAAGCCCAGCGCCTCTTCCGCGTCGATTTGGCGCCTTTTGTGAGGCTCCAGCGCCTCAAGGATTCCTGAGGAGAGCCTGAGAGCAGGCTTGGGCCTAGTTGGGGTTTTGGACTTCAACTCCCAGAATTCCTCACGGCCTCAGGCCCTTTCCTTTTCCCCCTCAGCCGCTTAAGCGGCTGAGGGGGAAAAGGAAAGGGCCTGAGGCCGTGAGGAATTCTGGGAGTTGAAGTCCAAAACCCCAACTAGGCCCAAGCCTGCAGGGACACTTCCCCAATTTCCAAGGACTTCATATCTGCCTTGACTTGCACTTTAAGGCGAACTTGCTCCTTTTCCCCTCTGAGGAAGCACATCAAAAAACTCTTAACCTTTCTTCTTGTGCTGCCTCTCAAACTCCTTGGTTTTTAATTTAAACGATCTGGACTCCTTATGGATTACTTCTGGGATGATGTATACCCTCATCACTTGAGATGCATCATTGAACAGGCCAAGTCTTTGTAGAGCTGCCCCCCTTTCTCTCTCCCCCCCTCCCCCAAATTTGATGCTTGCAAAAGGCGTCCTTTGTCGTCCGCCTCTTTGGTCGTGAACTTCTGAAACTTTTTCCCCTCCCCAATTTGGAATTTCGACAATTTGGATGGTGCAAAAGGTGTCCTTCGTCGTCCGCCTCTTTGGTTGTGAACTTCTGAAACTTTTTGGACCTGTTTTTTTTGTATGTTTTTTCTTCAATAGCTGAAGGGAAAAGTTGTCTTTCTACAGAGTCGCATTGGATACATACGCCCGTTTTTATATAATCGTTACTTTAGAGATGCTTTTACCGATTTCAGTAAATATAATAAATGTTCAAATGCAAGGATGTCTGCCTGCATTGCGCGATTCGGTGGGAATGGGGTTGCCTAGGGCCCGTTCCACACAACTGTCTAAAATCCATTGAACTGGACTCGGTTAATCCAGTTCAGGGCAGATATGAATGATCTGCCCTGATATTCCTGGGGCCCCTTCCACATAGCTGGATAAAATCCCACATTATCTGCTTTGACCTGGGATACATTGCAGTGTGGCCTCAGATAACCGTTCAAAACACGTATTGTGGATTATCTGGCTTGATTTTCTGGGTTATATGCTGTGTGGAAGGGCCCTGGGTTATCTTGAGTCCACACTACCATATACTCCAGTTCAAAGCAGAAAATCTAGGATTCTATTCAACTGTGTAGAAGGGGCCCCAGATATTCCAGTTCAAAGTAGATATTGTAGATTGTCTGATTTGATGATCTGAGATATAAGGCTGTGTGAAAGGGCCTAAGACTTGATGCTAGGCAACATGACTCATATAATCCAGCTCGGCTATCCACATCTCTTCCAGACAGGTCCTGTATCCCAGAATCTGATCTCAAGTTTTCTACTTACCCTAGATTATCTGGCAGTGGGAACTCTTATAATCCAATTTGAAGCAGAAAACTTGGGATCAGAATCTGATCCCAAGTTTTCTATTTACCCTACATCAGTGGTTATTAACCTGGGGTCACCAGATGTTTTTGGCTTACAACTCCCAGAAATCCCAGCCAGTTTACCAGCTGTTAGGATTTCTGGGAGTTGTAGGCAAAAAAAAAAACATCTGGGGACCCCAGGTTGAGAACCACTGCCTTAGATTATCTGGCAGTGGGAACTCTTATAATCCAATTTGAAGCAGAAAACTTGGGATCAAATTCCCAGAATCTGATCCCAAGTTTTCTATTTAACCCTATATCAGTGGTTATTAATCTGGGGTCACCAGATGTTTTTGGCTTACAACTCCCAGAAATCCCAGCCAGTTCACCAGCTGTTAGGATTTCTGGAAGTTGAAGTCCAAAACATCTGGGGACCCCAGGTTGAGAACCACTGCCCTAGATTATCTGGCAGTGGGAACTCTTATAATCCAATTTAAAGCAGAAAACCTGGGATCAAATCCTGGGATATAAGGCCTGTCTGGAAGGGCCCACAGTACACTGTGGATTTTATACTGTTATGTGGAAGGGGCCATTGCGGATTAATATTCAGGATGACTGGAATTGGAACCCACCTCAAAATATTGTAAGATGCTTTCCCTGGTGGTGCCACAAAGGCTCCTATACTGCCATATAATCCAGAGTATCATACTCTGGATTATAGAGTATCTGTACTCTGCTTTGAATTGGATTCTATGTGTCTACACCGCCTTGTAATCCAGTCCAAAGTAGATAATCTGGATTTTTATCTGGCAATGTAGAAGGGGCCAAAGTGAGATTAGGTCCCTTCACAGCTGTATAAAATCCACATTGAACTGGATTATTTGGCAGTGTGGACTCTGTTAATCCAGTTCAGGGCAGATGTGAATGATCTGCCTTGATATTCCTGGGGCCCCTTCCACATAGCTGGATAAAATCCCACATTATCTGGTTTGACCTGGGATACATTGCAGTGTGGCCTCAGATAACCCAGTTCAAAACAGGTATTGTGGATGATCTGGCTTGATTTTCTGGGTTATATGCTGTGTGGAAGGGCCCTAGGTTATCTGAATCCACACTACCATATATTCCAGTTCAAAGCAGAAAATGTAGGATTCTATTCAACTGTGTAGAAGGGGCCCCAGATATTCCAGTTCAAAGTAGATATTGTAGATTGTCTGATTTGATGATCTGGGATATAAGGCTGTGTGAAAGGGCCTAAGACTTGATGCTAAGCAACATGAGTACAAAAGAATTACGCCCCTTTTCACACTACTCCTATATCCTAGGATTTGATCTCAGATTATCTGCTTATCCCAGATTATCTGGAAGTGTAGACTCCTATAATCCAGTTCAAAGCAGATAATCAGGGATCAGATCCTGGAATATAGGGCAGTGTAGATCCAGCCTTAGGGCCCTTCCACACAGAATATCAAGGCAGAAAATCCCACAATATCTGCTTTGAACTGAGTTATCTGAGTCCATACTGCCATATATTCAAGTTCAAAGCAGATAATGTGGAATTTTATTCAGCTATGTGGAAGGGGCCTTGGTGTGTGGTCAAACTGGTCCCTCCGCTTAGAATGGGCAGATGAGTGGAACTTTTTGCAATGTTTGGGTAGGATCACATCAAATACAGGCAGTCGCCAGGTTAGAACAAGATAGGTTATGTTGGTTTGTTCTTGTGTAAGTTGAAACAGTTACATTTTTAAGTCTAACGCCAGTCATATATATGTATGTGCATATGTGGCTGGTGTTACACTTAAAAATGCACCGTCCCCCCCCCTCTATATATACACACACACATACATATAGTGTGTATATATAGAGATATATATGCTATATAGATAGCATAGGGTTGGGTGTTTGTTTTTCTGTCTATGCCCCTGCTCAGGAGATTTCACCTCACTTTCTGTCCCTGTGATAATTGGATTTTTTTAAAAAATGGCTTGTGGAAATAAGGATTGGCGCTAAGGCTTCAGTTGAGACCTATTTTCCTTATGATAATTCTTTCAGGAGTGACTTCCCCTTCCTGGGGGTAGATTTCGCTCACTTTCAATTGTCTCACCCCCATTATTAACTATAAGTTAGGAGCCCCCGGTGGCGCAGTGGGTTAAACCCCTGTGCTGGCAGGACTGAAGACCGACAGGTCTCAGGTTCGAATCCGGGGAGAGGCGGATGAGCTCCCTCTATCAGCTCCAGCTCCTCATGCGGGGACATGAGAGAAGCCTCCCACAAGGATGATAAAAACATCAAATCATCCAGGCGTCCCCTGGGCAACGTCCTTGCAGATGGCCAATTCTCTCACACCAGGAGTCACTCCTGACACGACAAAAAAAACCCCAAAAAAACAAAACTATAAGTTGTTTGTAAGTTGGATGTTTGCAACTTGGGACTGTCTAAACACAAAAGGAATGGACGGAAATCTACTTTTGGTTTAATCCCCCTAAATACATTTCTAAGAACACTGAAATAGTATTTTTAAAGTGCACTGGCAATCAGTTAATTCACCCGATGGGTCCTGGAGGCATTGAGGGCCACAAAAGCAACCTTGATGGCCATGCTCCACCTATTCCTGCAGTAGATCTACTTGTTCTGAGGGTTATCTCAGGATGTTATGTATTGCTGAACCCAAGTGCTTTTACAGAATTTCTACTCTGAATAATCAAACCGTAGGAGTGGGCAAGACTAAATAGTCTGCTTGATTTCCTAGGTTGGTGTAATGATTGGGTGGAAGGGGTTGACAAGAGTTGGGGAGCCTACATTTCCCTCCATGGGCACCCCATACCATTCCCCCAACATGTGTTTTTCACATTGATTGTGTGTTTCCCCATGGCAGGAGGTTGTACTGGATAGCCCTTGTGGACTCTTCCAGTTCTATGATTCTATGTTTTACTCCAAAATGGCTGTTAATTATGCCCTCCCCTTCCATCCTGGAGCGAGTGATGCAGGTGGCCATTTTATCAGGTTTCCTCTGTGGCATTTTATTTTCAGGCTAGGAAGTGAGTGAAGTTCCTAGTCCAATCATTTCTGGTTTTGTATTCCAAAGGCCTGTATACACCAAAGTAAGGCTCCTACGACCTTAGGAAATGGGGAGATTCCTTTCTTGCTTGAAAATGTGGTAAATGGCACAAGCTTCTGTAGTGGGAACAATATCTGTTATTTGGTTGCAAAATATCCTACACAAAATGTATACGGGAAGCCCTTACAGGCATCCAAGTAGCCCACGGGCTGTACTTTGCCTATCTCAGAGTTATAATGTTGGGTTAGAACTGGATAAATCTGGATCCAAATCCCAACATGGCTACTAGACTGAGTGGCCTTGGGTCAGTTACTTTCTGACCCAAATGTTCCTGATCTGAAAACAACATGGCCTTTCTAGCTTCAATGGTTGGATAAGGGGGGGGGGGGGTTCAGCAGTAATAAGCAAGATTTGATCAAATTCCTTCATCGACAAAAGACATTTAAAGATACAGGAGCCATCTCATGTTTCCACTCTAGTGACTGTACAGAATTCTACCTGTTGTGAAGATAAAAATTGGAAAGGATGCTGCCTTTACCTACTTTAGATTAAGAGAAGGGATATAAATGAATACAGGAATGCTAGTCCAGATGGGGAACTTATGAGGACAAATACTGAGCTGCCGTTCCCATGTTTTCTCACTGTTGTACATGCTAGCTGGGACTTTTGGGAGCC